TTTCAGACAAATAATCTAACAGAAATGACTTATTACTACTTATATATGTATTGTTTTATTGGATGGAATTGTTCGACTTCTATTGGCATATGAGTTCCTATGCGGATGCCCCGAAATTGCCTAAATGTTAATTATGATAATTTACTTGGTTTTGGCTAGCAGAGGAATCTAGGATGCACGTTTCGTCCTATTCGGATCTGGTTAGCTGGGTGTACCTACACCCCAATGTGGAGTGATGTTATTCCCACTGGATTCCTGTGTTACCAACAACTAAGTAACTTATCGGAAGTGGCTTATTATTATTTATCCCTTGGGTTCCTAGTGGGACATGGGGTTTCAGTAGCACGTCTCCATTCCACTCTGTTCTCTGGAATCTTTTGAACCTAGCGCCACGACTGTCTAGAAACTCTCATTTGTTCTTCACATGATCTCCTCCATGTCACCCTCGGACACCCAACACGCTGTTTCCCATCTGGGTTCCACTCGAGTGCCTGGCGTGTGATGTCCCCGAATGGTCTTCCCAGTGCATACCCAATCCATCTCCACTTCCCCATTCTGCATATTTGTTGAGCGATAGGTTCTTGGTTGGTTCGTCACCAGCCAGAGTTCCTTGTTGCTTATTCTTTCTGGCCATCTATCTGATCTTTAGTAACGAGCCAGCGTAGGTAGTTGTTGATGAATGTCTGTAGTTTGTTGAAAATCCTTTTCGTAACGCACCAAGTCTCTGAACCATGTAGAAGCACGGACCGGAAATGACTTACTTAAGGTTAAATGTAATATTAATATATCTTTAGATAAAAAAAATAGGTCCAGTTTGATCTGGACTTACAAAGTTGTGTAGTTCTAGGATGTATATAAAATATTGACTTGAGGGAATTTTTATGCTGGTTTAGGTTAACCAATTGAACTGATCTGAAGTTATTAGTCTCTTTGTCGTAGTATGCTTAAATGACAAATACGTTTTCGTGTACAATAATTTAACAGAATGCGTGACTGGGTCATGGTGTGATGCGGGCCAGGTGCCCCTTGGTTGCGGACTCTTTTATTGCATCAACTGAGCCGCGAAACTAGAGTGTTAGCCAATTCTTGAACTTATCAGAGCGCCAGGTTGATAATCTAGAGGCTGAGGGTTCGAATTCTGTCCTGGTTGAAGTTTCTTATCAGTCTCATTCACTTTACTTAAATATTCAGAAGTCATTTACCCATTTTACTTACTACATTCAGCATTTCAAAATCGTTAGTGATATGATAGTTCTTGACAATATGTATCAGTTAGTTTCATAAAAGACGCAACTCATTGAAAATTCTTCATATCAGATTATCGGATATGTCTCAGGTAATAGAGATTTCCTTAGAAACAGTTTGAAAGAATGAACATTCATCTTAGTTGACATTCTGTAGTAGTCGTTTCTGGGTCAAATGCTGTGGTAGATTATTTACAACTTATATTCTGTATAATTGCTCTCATGAATAAACATGTTTTTACACAGAACTAGCGCGTGAGATCATGCTACAAATGTGTGCTTTACCATTGATGAGTGAAGAGTGAATACGATAAACCTGAAAAGACTTGTAAAATCACAGTTTATTACTTAGATACTGATATGCTTCATATTGTAAGTATTACAAGCTGCTAATTACGTTATTAACCTCGCCTGGTTAACTAGTTCATTAGTTACTAGCCAGTCCTAAGCCCGGGTAAAGAGGGAAGGTTGGACATAAGGCTAGCAATCCTACCCCGTAAAACAAATCTAACCGCTGAAGAAACTTCAAAGCACAAACGATACATAAAAAATAAAAACAAACATATTCTTCGCTGGAATCGGAGAGACGAAATGACGCCAGTTGGTGAAAGCCTTCGGGAAGCCAGTTGGCCGGTGTGTCTTCTCTCGATGAAAGCGAAAGTAAACGTGGGGACATGGAATGTCCACACTATGTATGAGCCTAGCAAGGCAGCCCAGATTGCAAACGAGATGAGGAGGTATCGCATTGAAGTTCTTCGAATTTGCGAAAGCAGATAGAATGGGAGTGGACTCTCCAAACTGTCAAATGGAGAATCACACTGAGGGAGTGGCTATCATGATGTCCCCAGGAGCATCGAAGGCCGTCATGCAGTGGGAACCAATCTCCTCCAGGATGAGGATATTGACAGCAAGGTTCAACTCAAAAGGAAGGAAGGAAGGAAGGTCACAACCATACAATGCTACGCTGTGCACCCACAAATAATGCAGATCAAGAGAAAAAGGAGGAATTCTACAGACAAGTGCAATCAACACTGGAAAAGACACCACACCAGTTCGCGACATCAAAATTCCAATGAGTGACATGAATACCAAACTGGGAGCAGACAATACAGGAAGAGAACTAACCATGCGTCAAGAAGCACTCTGTGAGGTGATGAACTAGAATGGAGAACTGTTTGCAGAATTCTGTGTATTCAACGATTTGGTGATTGGAGTCACTGTGTTCAAGCACAAGGATATTCACAAAGCGACATGGATTTCATCAGACACCAGGACACACTAAAAATCAGATTGACTTCATCTCAATTTGAAGAAAGTGGAGACGCAGCCAGCCTACTAGACATAAGGTGAAGAAGAGGAGCAGATGTAGGCTCAGACCACTATCTAGTGCAAGGAACCTTCCAAACCAAGTTGAAAGCCTTCAAGGAAGTTGGTGATTGACCATAGTTCAAGTCCAACACCCGGAACAGAAACTGAAGGATGAGACTACGGAGAAAATCTTCACGTCAGCCATCAAGACAAAGTGGGAGATATCGAGCAGCATCCCTGAAGAAACCTGTGTGGATGAGCACTGGAACTCTTTGAAAGGTATGTGGAAAGAAACCTGCATAGCCATATTAGGAAGGAAGAAGAAAAAAGATAAGGAATGGATCTCGATGGACACATGGAAGCTGAAAGGGAAAGGAGAGGAAGATGGTGATGGTGAAGCAGAAGATAAACCAGTGCAAGGATGAACAACGACAAGAGGAACTGAGTACAATGTATAAAACACTGGACAAAGAAGTGAAGAAGGGTGCATACAAAGACAAAAGACACTTCTACGAAACACTGGCAAGTGAAGCAGAACAGGCTGTTGGTAGGAGAGACCTGACAACATTGTATCAAATAACCAGATAACTGCTACCTGGGAGGGAAGAGATCAACACAGATGAAACCAATGAAAGATGATGACGGAAATTTAATTGCGAAAGAAGAGAAACAAAGGAAACAATGGGCTGACTACTTCAAACAGCTCTTGAATCGACCACCACCTGCACTTCGTCCAGAAATACCACCTGGAACAAGAGAACTACAAGTGAACATAAATCCTCCAACAAAAGTCGAAGTCCTGAACGCCATAAAGTTACTGAAATGTGGCAAAGCAGTAGGACCAGATGGAATCCCGTCAGAAGCACTAAAAACAGACGCAGAGACAACAGCGGACCACACTATTGCAGAAGGTCTGGAAGGAAGAGAAGGTACCTGGCGATTGGAAGAAGGGTTATCTTGTCAAACTCCTGAAGAACAGTTACCTAAGTCGTTGCAAGAACTGGCGAAGAGACATGCTCCTGTCCACCCAAAGCAAGCAAAATCTTAAGCCACATCATCCTGGAGAGATTAAAGGAGGCACTGGATTCAAAACTGCGACCGGAACAGGTTGGCTGGATTCAGGAAGTAAAAATCATGTTCGGACCAAATTGCAACGCTACACTACATATCATCATAGAACAAAGCATAGAAGGGTAGTCAACTCTCTCTACCTACCTACCTACCTACCTACCTACCTCAACTTCATCGACTTTGAGAAGGCCTTTGACAGCATCGACCGACGAGTAATTTGGAAACTGCTTCAACACTACGGAATACCGCAAACCTTTATCAATCTCATTCAACAACTATATGAAGACTCCATATGCCGAGTGACCCACAATGGGAAGCTCAGCTCAGTGATGCTTTTGAAGTGAAGACAGGAGTGAGACAAGGCTGTCTACTATCACCCATGATATTCCTGATTGTGTTCGACTGGACTGGATCATGCAACAAACAGTGAGGAGCGAGAAGAGGGGGATACAATGGTTGGACCGCGGAAAAGATCCTATCAAATTTGGATTTCGCAGATGACTTGTGTCTAATGTGGCACAAACTTGAAGATCTACAGGCGAAAACTAACAAGTTGGCAGAAGAGGCAGGGTAGAGAAGACGGGACTTCAAGTGAATGCAGAGAAGACAGAGGTGATGAAGATACTCAACCAACAACACCACCAACAACAGAAAGCTGCAATCACCATCAATGGGAGAAACTTAAAGGAAGTGGCCTCCTTCACCTATCTAGGAAGCACTGCTTCAAGTACAGGTGGGACAGATAAGGATGTCAAAGTCAGAATCGGAAAAGCAAGACAGGCGTTCATTAGCTTGAAACCAGTGTGGAGATCCGCACTCAGCATGTGGAACAAGATCTGGATTTTCAACACAAACGTCAGTCAACTCAGTGCTTCTGTATGGTTCAGAGACTTGGCGCGTTACGAGAGGGATTTCTAATAAACTACAGACATTCATCAACAACTGTCTACGCTCGCTACTGAAGATCAGATGGCGAAAAAGAATAAGCAACAAGGAACTCTGGGGACGAACCAACCGAGAACCTATCACTCAACAAATATGCAGAATGGGGAAGTGGAGATGGATTGGATTGGGCATGCACTGAGAAGGCCGACTGGAGATATCACGTGTCAGGCCAGTTGCTCGAGTGGAACCCAGATGGGATTCGACGAGTTGGGCGTCGGAGATGAAGGTGACATGGAGGAGATCGTGCGAGGAGGAAATGAGAGGTTGTGGGCTGTCGTGGAGCGAGGTTTAAAAGATTTCAGAGAACAGAGTTCACTGGAGACGTACTACTGAAACCCTATGTTCCATGAGGAACTCAAAGGACTAATAATAATAAATGATAATTATGTTATCGCTGAAGTGCTCACCATGTTCCAAATGCACTCGAAATTCAGTTAGTAGCGATTTATTTTATTTCAAAAGTATTTCTAGATTTCCAACTGAAATCTATTTGTAGGTTATTAAATGTTCGCTTGTATTACATAATTAGATATCATTTGAATATAGGCAGAAATATGCACTTCATTAATTGGATAATTAAACGACTGGTATAACAGACATTTAGATACAAGGCCGTTAGCTAAGTTAACAGCTAAATGTAGTTGCAATATTTAAGCAGTCTCATTTTTATTAAGCATATAAAATTGTTAACTTCAACACTTTTATGAACGATACACTTGATACAGCATAATAATAATCATTACATAAGGAGAATTAAACAGTAAATATCATTCTCTTTTTAAATAATACAAGATTACAGTGTTAGTTCATTCTTATTTTCTACTTAAGTGGAAAAAAAGATTAAGAAATCAGTACATGTTAGATGATGAAAAGAAAAAAGCACTACATATTTTAATATAAAATACGAAGTTGAATAGCTTTCAAAATCATGATTACATAAATCAGATACACTGGGAATACTTGAAAAAAAAATTAATTTAATTCATAGCTAATTGATAAAACTATAAGTAGAGAATAAAGAAAGCGTTAAGTAACTAGAGGTGTACGTTCATTGTCTGTTCGCTCAGTAACTCTTTCACGTATCTAGTAGAAAAAGAGTAAAAATGAACATGCATAAAATTACTCAATAATCATAGCAGAACTTTTAAATCCCTATGGTAATGAGTATATGGAAAATTAATAAATCTATAAGGAAGAAATGAAAGTTTATAGGTAGTCGTAGCACCAGGTTCAAAAGATTGCAGAGAAGAGAGTGTAGTGAAGGCGTGCTACTGAAGTCTTATGTTCCACTAGGAACCCAAAGGAAAAAATGCTAGCTCATACGTTTATTTAAACCATAATATGTGACTAGTATATTAACTTTCATATATTGTTATACAAAGGAGATAATGAAAATTTTAATTGAATTATTTACAGAAGATAGATGTATTTCAAATATTGTTGGTTATCAGATTTCTGATTCGATTCTACAATAGGCTATCGAGATTGAAACTATCAAGTAAGTGCACACTAACAGTCTTTGAACCAAAAAAATCAATGTGTTTCCAAATGGTATGATACTGATAGAGATAAGATAGAGGAATGTAAAGCAGAAAAATGCAATAAAGTTGCTAAACGTGACATTGATTTCTTGTTTGCTAATATATTAGTCAACATTCTAAAGGTAATTTTTTTGGATTTCAGTTTCCAAATCGTTTTAACTATATTCTCATTGTATATTTTTCGGTTATAAAATAAACATTTTCACACGGTTAGGAATCTCAAAATTTGATTTCATTGTCTAAAACGCAGATATTCTGATAGAGATAATCAACGTAGAACAACTGTATCAATTCAAGTTGCCATACTTCAAAGTAGTATACAAAGAACAAGTGGATAGGAAAAGACTGACATGGAAGTAGATAGAGTTGTTTAAGAGAATAAGTAATCTGAAGGATAACACTTAGTGCAAGTATTTGAGCGTTAGAAGATGTGAAGGAGTGAATACATCTGTGCCATTGTGACCGGTTTTCAGCCAGTCTTCAATAATTGAATCCTTTCATCTCAGGGACTTCAGGCAATTAGCTTACATCTCCTTACACAACTCAGATCAATAGTCAGAGTCTTAATCGACTTGTGTCAGTTAGGTATGGGTCTGGTAACCCTGAACCCTCCTAGTATGGTACGTCAAGGCAGTCGATGACTCCTACAATAGCAACAAACATCTAAGCCACCTCATAAAGTGGAGGTTTACAACTTCATCAACCGACTTGCTTATTACGTTTTGCTTAGATTCAACAGCGTTAATTAGAAATTGAAGTGTGATTCTGTCACACTGACTTTTTTTTTCTCTCTCTTTTCACAATTTATTACTTTTTTTCAACACTTACTTTAATTGGTTTCAGGACATAATTCCGCAATTCAAAAATCATTGAAGTAAAAAACAGCAAAAATGTTACCGCCAAAAACCATTCACATACAGCACTTAACGCATGGAATGTATACCCCTAAAATGTAATAAATAATATTTATATGTATTATATATAAGTCCACATAACTTGAGGACGCTAGTATATAAACACAAATATGTATCAAGCATATTTAAGATTTAGAAAAAAACAAACATTGAAATTAAAAATGACTCAAAAAAAAAACCCAGTTGTTGAATAGCACAGTAATCTAATGCTTCAAATCTAGGCTTAAAAGAATAGTATACTGTTTGCAAAGTTATTCGACACAAGAGTTTGGTGCAAAGATAATAGATTCCATCTATATATGTTATATGCACAGGATATAAACTTAGAGATTACATCCAGTTGTATTTGTTCCACATTCCTTCAAAGTAGTGAGTCAACACACTTTATACATTGAATCAATTAGCTATCTGATTTCTGAGTGGAATAAAACAAGTTTAAAAGTTTTTATTGTATCCTATTTATTCTTAAGGGATCCAGCATTTACAACAACTATCGAAGCAAAATTTATCAGTAATGCTTTACTTATTAAAGATTCTAAAAACCTACATTTTTATTCAAATATGGATTGAAACGCTTAGGTGTTTGTCTTTTACAAAACTTGATTGATTAATCCAGTTATTGTTAAAGTGGTTTTTAAATTCTTTCATTAAATCGAATAGACCTATTCTTCCGCGGTTCTACGACAGATCAAAACTGTACAACCAACAGTCTCACTTCCGGGAACTCCAACATATTAAGAGAACTGAAACACTTCGTTCAATCATGCAGATATTCCATCAAGTCACCAATGGAATTCTCAGAAAAGATTAAAAACATTAACATTGGAAACGATGAATTAATGATATCCTTCGATGTCACAGCATTATACACATCCATCGAACAACAACTGGCCAAGGAAACGATGTGCCTCCTGCTCAGTGAAGACAAAAACCTTTCAGAACGCATAAAACTCAAATGTTCAAGTCTGATGGAACTCATCGACTTTTGTATGACAACATACTTCCAATTCAACGGTGAGATATACGAACAGATGAAAGGAACTCCAATGGGATCACCGATATCCGAATTAATTGCAGAAGCAGTGATACAAAGACTGGAAGCCATCATTCTGCCTGTGATCAAAACGAAAATTCGGATTCGCTATGTGGGCGACACTTTTGTCATCATTAAAAAAGATGATATAGAAAACACTCACAGTTCGATCAATATCGTCTTCAATCAAATCAAATTCACAACAGAGAAGGAGTCAGACAACCAACTACCATTCCGGGATCTTTTAGTCAGTATGACGAATGTCGAAAACCTGGAAACCTAAGTGTACAGGAAGCCAACACACACTGACCAAATCCTCAACTACTGTAGCAACAACCCAACAACACACAAAATCAGTTGCGTGCAGACTCTATTCAAAAGAACAAGAACATACTGTAATACAACAACTTCACGGAGAAATGAAGAAAATTACTCGATGTCCAGCCTAAAGAAGAACAGTTACCCACAAAACTTCATCAGAAAATGTCTATCCCGTGCATCATCAACTACAAAGCCATTAACAGATATCAACAAATGCATCACCCTACCATACACAAAGAATACATCGGAAGTCATGACAAGATTACTGAGATCACTTAGTGGAATTCATGTGGCTCATAAACTAACAAATTCCCTCCAAACCTCATTATGCAGACCTAAGGATGCAACAGCCAAAGAAGACAATTCGAATATCATTTACAAAATCACCTGCAATGACTGTGGTCAACACTACATTGGAAAAAGTCATCACCCTCTTCGCCTTCATCGTCTACATGAACACTAATTGGCTATTGAACGTCATACGCGACATTTCATCACTCATTTCAATGCACGTGGATAACAACCATGGACATGAATTCAATTTGGACAATGTAGAAGTTTTGGACGGAGAGAGGAAACACAAAGAAAATCAGAGAATTCCTAGAAGCTTGGCATTCAAGTCAGTCAGCATTCAACAGATGTATAGACATAGATCTAATCTATCAACCAATAAAAAAAATGATAAACGACAAAAAGGTCAGAGGTGAAGTAGAAGAATAGCCAACAGGGAAATCTATACAGTCAGTGACACAACAATCGAAGGAAACAACCAATCACAGACCAGTTCGTCAAGGCAAGCCACTAAATCACTCACGGAGAGATATTGACAGCTCACTTCATACTGAAGTTAGTGCTGATGATGTCGTCTAGAAAGACGATGAAAGCTTCATGATTAAACAACCCATCTCAGGGAACACAATACAACTAAAACCATCCACTTGAGCTACAAATATTCTCTGTTATTTTAAAAACCACAAACGGCTGGAAAATTTAATAGCATACCAGTATTAGCTAGAGGATTACGTACACACATATACATATATGAAATGCAGAAACTTAAGAGTGAACATCATAACTTGAAGTCAGAGGTTCAATAAAGTAACAAAACTAAGTCAGAAATGTGAAGATTTTTCGCAATCCTCAAGTTTTAAGAGAAAACCATGTTAATATGGTTTGAATAAAGTATTTGATGATCACTTTGACGAAAAGATTCCTTTTTAAAATTAGGTTTAAAGTAGATGAGAAAACGTCCTTTCAGTTTGCATGATTTAAGTGTTTTCAAAATCGTATGAAAATTCAAGAATACAATAAAATTTCACATGAGAATAACATTAACTTTAGACTGTTCCACTACATAAATATTTTATCCTTCGCGTTTGCCCGACTTTAAAAGCAACTCTAACAAGTGATGAAACAACCAATCAGGTTTCTGTATACTATGAAAAGCTGTCTCTCAAGTCAAAGTACCACAACCTGATTGGTTATTTTGGCTATTGTAATGATGGCCTTTAAAGTCACGCTTCTCTTTTATATATCATATATTCAAAATGTAAGGATGAAATCCGCCCTTTTGTTAACCGTGAAAACATTGTCAGTTAGTAGTTCATTTTCATAGATATTCCTGGAATTTAAGTTATTACCCTGATAAGACTTCCCATAAATGAACTTTGCTGAGATCGTTCTTTGGGGAGAATACTCATACTATGATAGGTAGGCATTCTTCAACTTAAAGCATAACTGAAGTATGTTATGCACTACAAAAGTGAAATATTTGTCATCGATGTGAGTGAAATAACGTCATTGTTTTATTTCCCAATCTACTTAAACAACATAAGACAGACGTTACAAAAATATCTAATTAAGGTTACAACAAGACGTTTGCAACAATAACCATATTTCGCTAATATCCAAACCTTATGGCATTAGATACTCAGTGTTAAACTTTATTGTTCTAACTGACTTTTTTCCGCTGCAAGTGCACGATCAAACACTCAAGTCAATTAGCATATTGTATTGTTACGTTGAATAACCTTTGCATGATCCCAATCACTCATTTAGAACAAACACCTCCGTTTGTTAGTATGACTCGAAGTATATACCTTTGTCATTTAACGATCAACTTATTTTGTTTTTGCAGTTTTGTACCCGTGAGTTTTAAGCATATACATCTTCTAAAAGTCTTGAATGCGATCAAGCTACAACACTTCTAAGTGCATCTTATACAGAGAATACGTAAATCAAACCATTTACAAACTGCTGCTAGAGTTATTTAGATATCCATCGGGATACCGATGCACCAACAGTTTCAATCAAGGCTTTAAAGGGTTCAGGGAACCTTATGGCAAGCGAATAGACCGCATGCATATATATATATATATATATATATATATATATATATATATATATATATATACGGGTGTCATTTTCGAGTTTCCCCATTGTGTCCTTATTTTTCCAGCTTCCTGTCTGTTATTATGATTCTGTATTGTCGCCTTGACGTAAGTAGGTTGTTTTTAATCAGTATTGCTACTAGATTTCAACCAGCTGTCGAATCTACCGGAAGTGTAGATAAGCATTGGTTGAACCTACATGATGCTTGAAAAATGGGGAGTGCCGTTCCTTGCGGCTTTGAAGAACAACTCGTTAATAAGATATGGATTTTTACGAGTTCCTTGCAACATCTTGACGCTCATTAGTCTGTTTTTTCGGACAGCAAGCCCTTTTAACCGAAAGCTTTACGGTAAATAAATAAATAAAGATCATGAGACCAAGTGGTAAGAACGCGCAAGCGAAGTAGAAAATACAGTTGCAGCTAACAGTAGTCAGGATCTGATGAAGTTTATACAAGTCATTGGCAACAAGAAGCTTTGTACCAGTGAAACGGTCCATAAGGTAAATTTTACTCCAAACAACAACCCTAAAAGATGCTTGGATTGCTAGACAGAACCCTTTGAAAACTAATTTAGTTGAAGTACTATCACAGTAACTTGAAATTCATTTTGCTATGCTCCATGGTTGATAAAACTGACCCACCTACAAAATGGAGATTTAAAAAGAACTCCAGGTACTGAAGCAGTGTATAACGTCCATCAGATCACTGACTAGTTTCGGGGATGAAAGTGAGACAATGTACTCACTGGACTACCTAGAACAGTGGAAGTATTCGTCTATTCTGAAATATAGCCATTTGAGGCAACTGTTAGAATATCAGTCATCGTAATGTGTGAGAAAAACTGACTACCAAGAGGAAACGTGGACCTTATTCAGATAGTAGATGCATTTGTTTGCCATTTACTCTCCACTAGATGATCAAATATTACATGTATATCGGTGTGTGTGTACTACTTTTGATTCACTAAGAAGAACTGTGCTCTGGAGTTGTTTAGTATAAAGTTTGGTCACCGAGGGGGTGTTTTTAAACATCTTGAAGGTTCTATACAAAAAATCTCCGGTAGAGTAGTGCCATATATCTCTCTATTGCCTCAAACTAGCAGTGGAATAAGACAGATTAACCAATTTCATTTTTCCGAATAGACTTTCTATTCGGTGAAATTCCACAGACAACTCTGGTAGTGTAGACCTGTCTCTAGGAGATATACTTCAACTCAAAGTATGCAGACAGTATCATCTAAATTCTGCAACACTACAAAAGCTCCCTATTTCACGCTTAATCATTTAGTAATCATTGTGCAACAACATCGTTTGTCGAAATGTGGAACAAATGTAATGAAAATTTCTGTTGAGATTATTTAACTAGTTTCTTTAATCCGCCCCTAACTGTGAAATAAAGTTTATTTCTATGATTTTACTCAGTTAGGACATGTTTTTAAAAAAGAAAACACATCCAGATTCCTACCAATACAATTGTTGTTACTGTTTACTTCGGAAAAATACTGTTTCACAACTCACACAATCTGCATTTGTATGCCTTTATCTCCGAAATGTATTGATCGACTGTTTTGTACAAATTATAAGAAAACCGTCCCAACGTTCGAATTTTATTAACAATCCATTGTCATCCATCATATAGCTTAATTCAATCATTCCAATCGCATCTCTATGATAAATGTGCCGTATATTTGATTACACGCACTGTCTACAAGTGACCTTACAGCTTAATATCCCACTGAGGTATACTATCACCCAGTTTATATTTTCCCGCTTTTTTCTTAATATCGCCATATAAATCATTTTCAGTATATTTTGAGGAAGCACGCAGAATTCTGCCTACTCTACGGAAGTTTAGCGAAAAGATACATAATTTTGGGAAAATATAGTTAAAAAATGATGACGATTGCATTTTCATTGCAGAAATTAATTAGAATAATTATAGGGAAAATTGTTTTATTCATATAATTACACTGAATAAAATGTATATGAATGCACGTTAATATAATGTTTATTATATTGGGCTGACTGATTACCGTGTTATGCCACTTTTACTTCAAAGCATTATATGCTATCATATTGTTTCTTCCCACTTATGATATAGTAATTAGACGAATTTTCTACACAACACTTTCGATAAACAATGCCACAAAAAGTATCCATAATTCTAACTGTTATCATTGGTCTACATTTCAAAAACGATTCAAGAATTTACGCAAATCTATTTTAAGTTAGTGCAATAAATTCTAAAGACATGAGAAACAGAGAAGAAGACTATATCAGTAATAAAAAACTAATGGTTGTGAACAAGTACCTCAAAGGCGTTTGAATAGACGGGAAGTCCCATGGAATTAGCTTTCTGGAGATTGCAGTGGGTGACAACTGTATACAACAGTCGAATACATATGATGATATCATCAGTCATAATCTTAAGTGTGCAACATCCCTCCACAGTCATACACTAAGTACGCAAGTAGACCATAATGGCTGTGACAAGTGTACTGTAGACGGCCGTAAGATACAAGGTTCATAACTTTAACGTAATAGGTATTATTCTGTGAGGACGAATAATCCATTCCGTAAACACAGGCATCATAACAGTGGGTTTACCTTCAGAAAATTTCCTGTAGACATGATATTCACATCTCCTTCAGATCCTTCGCATTCAATACATTTACGTATGATCAAAAAAACCGGAAGCCTATAACAAGTACGTTTCACATTCTTTCTGAAAGTGGAAACGCTTGGCATGAATAATTGAATTCGTATAGACAGTGGAATAACACGGTGTAACAATAGACATTCCGAGGAAATATACCTTTATCGTTACACATAGCCGACAGTTTATTTTTAGTGCTAGTCGTTTTCCAACCGCTACACATCTATCTTAACTTGTCTACTTACTGGCTTCCGTTTGTTTTCCTTTCCTTAAAATCATTTTTTTCCCAGCAATGTTGTATTCTTTTATGTGTGATAACCTTACTGTAACATGTTTTTACTTAAAGTAATTAAATAAACTTCTTATTATACGGAGAACAAGCTAAATCTGTTGTATGACGCATAATTATGCCATCTAGCTACAATAAACTTACTACGTAGGAGATGATTTAAACTCTGAAGTCATTTATCGAAAGCTAGAGAACCTTTACGATGAATTATTATTAATCATGTAGTTCAATTTTCAAGTCAGACTGAATAGAACCTTCAGTGAACATATATTTCCATAAAGGTTCCTATACTTGCGTTAAAGTGCTTCAATATAGGATATATACTTCAGTGGCTGTGTATGATCTTCTAACTAAAATGAAAGTAGTTACAATCAAATGTACATTCATTACATATTTCACGACTACAGTTGTAGAAATGACAATAATTAATGGAAAATAACTTACACAAGTAAATCGTATTATGATTAGAACACTTACTTTTTCAGTTGGATCCCATTTTTTAGGCAGGGCTGAAGTCAGACTGCCAGACAGAGCAGCAAAAGCAAAAGCTAGAAATGATGGTAAATATGAAGACAGATGACGGCTTTTATCATAATTTCAAAAAGTAAGTATATAACTTAAAAGATGATAACACAAATAACCATCAAGAAAAGTAGCATTTATGCATTGTGTATTATATCTACACTACTTATAAGTAACTGATATTTTTCACTAAAATTTGTCTTAATCACTGATTGGATTGGGTTTGAATCACAGAGGGAACACATTTGTTTCATTATCTGAGTGGTAAAATAGTTCAAAATTCAATGTCAAAGCTTTCTTCAGCCAGATTTCTAACACCTAACGTCAAAATATCCCCTACTACAGTGTCGCAACAGTTAGTTTAAAAGCCATATTGAAAAATTGAAAGACAAACTTCAGTTTGCAATGAGCACATGAGACTAGAAAGCTGCATCAGTTACCGTCACGTGACCTATTTGTGTACAAACTCCTTACCTTGCATTTATTATTCATTGGAATGTTTGTTGCTGTTTCATAATTTCAAGTAGTGTTATACTTAGTATTAAGTTATATTAAATTTTCACCGCTCGTTGCTTGATTACCTCGAATATATGAATCATTATTGATTCAATAAATACCTCTCAGTGAGTGATGTTGTTCTCACTGATTCAATGGCCAAGTGAGTAACGCTCTGACATTTAATGTGATCGGTCCTAGAGGCAACCAACAACAATAAGCTCCTATCATCATCAACGGGAGAAACTTGAAGGAAGTAGCCTCCTTCACCTATCTAGACAGCACTGTTTCAACTACAGGTAGCGGCACAGACAAGGACGTGAAAGCCAGCCAGGATCGGAAAAGCAAGACAGGCGTTCATTAAACTGAAACCAGTGTGAAGATCTACTGCACTCAGCACGAAGAACAACATCCGAATTTTCAACACCAATGTCAGTCAAGTCAGTGCTTCTGTATGGCTCAGAGACTTGGTGCGTTACGATAGGGATTTCCAACAAACTACAGACTTTCATCAACAACTGCTTACGCTGGCTCATTACTGAAGATGAGATGGCCAAAAAGAATAAAGAACTCTAGCCTCGCAACGAACCAACCAAGAAGCTATCACCCAACAAATATACTGAAGGAAATGGAGATGGATTGGGCATACACTGAGAAGGTCGATTGTGGACATCACGCGTCAGGCCAGTTGCTCGAGCGGAAGCCAGATGGGAAGCGACGAGTTGAACATCCAAGGCGAGGGTGACATGGAGGAGATCGTGCGAGAAGGAATTGAGAGGTTGTGGGCTGTCGTGGAGCCAGGTTGAAAAGATTCTAGAGAATAGAGCGCATTGGAGACATGCTAGTGAAGCCCTATGTTCCATTAGGAACCCAAGGGACAAATAACAATAAGAATATTGGTCAACCTTAAGGTACTTATTACAATGCTCATAAAAAAGAATACCTTGAGCTAAACAAAACTGTAATCAATAAGTTGTTTAAAAAAAAAGAGGATAACCTCACTGATGTTTCTTTTAAACCTCAGATCATTTTCAACGAATAACTAATTTTTTTTGATGCCATTAACAGAATTTTAAGGATCATCTAAGTCAGTGCATTATCTTCTCATTTCCAATGAAGAAATAGTTATTACCTCAGACTAATTGATCATATACAAGTAGAGATAATGAAACTAGTACATGAAGCATATTGTATAGTTTTCAAATATACATTTAAAATAGGAATAATCAAAGCTACAAGGTTTTATTCCAGTCGTATACATGTAAACTGATACAAAAATCGACTTAGCATAGCGATCAATATTAGACTATCGTTAGTGTCTATACGTTAATCCTTAGAAACTCAGTATACATGCATAAACATGTTCTTTTTAATGCTTCTTTAACTAGTTTCAGTAGTGGTAATGATATTAAACACAAGTTGGAAAATTAGTTGTTTCTTCAATTCATCAGAATGCTTACCGCGAATATATTTCCTTAAATAGCTAATTTTTATACACTATAATTCTAGTATTGTTGCTTGTATTACACCGTCGTTGATTGGACCGAAATGTGCAACCTCGATTCTACTACTAGCCACTGCCTATCATTATAATATAATTCTCTTAAAATCCAGGATGCGCATTTCGTCCCATTTGGGACTCGTCAGCTGAATGTATCTGCCTCCGAGTGAGTGTTGTTCCCACCGGCATTTGGACTCGAGAGCGATCGCTTCAAACGTCAGAGGGTTTACCATTACACCATCGAGCCACGATAGCCACTCCTTGTGTGACGGGTATAATTTTTTAGTGTTATCGCTCGTATTATAGCGTCGTTGATTGAACCGAACTGATCGGTCTCTATTGGTATATGGGCTCCTGTGCGGATGCCTCGATATATGTGTGTTCTAGTAACAGTAAAGATGGATAGTGGCTAACAGTGGAATTCAGAATGCGCATTTCGTCCCATTTGGGACTCGTCAGCTGAATGTATCTGCCTCCGAGTGAGTGTCTTTCCCACCGGCATTTGGACTCGAGAGCGATCGCTTCAAACGTCAGAGCGTTATCCACTACACCACCGAGCAACGATAGCTACATCTTGTGCAACAAGCATAATTTTAGTGTTATTGCTTGTATTATACCGTCATTGATTGGATCGAATTGATCGGTCTACCTAGAACGCAGGTATATCGAGGCATCCACATAGGAGCCCATATGCCAATAGAGACCGATCAATTCGGTTCAATCAACGACGGTATAACACTAAATAATTCTCTTAATTAGATAAAAGTTAGTGAGTATTTTGGCTGTAGATTGAGCAGGTCTATTTTCAAAGCGTTTAACAATTTTTTTTTCCTTGTATAGATTGTCCTATAACTTGACACATACTCTTATAAATACAAAATGTTTCAGATCACAAAATGAACTTTAATTGATATTGATAATACGTGGTGGTTGATAATGAAGTGAAAATTTAGGATACGGTGAATGTTGAATCAATCATCGCCAAGTTTTTCGCCTAGTACTCGATTAACTGAGTTAAGAAAACCACGTGGTGGCTGGTTTTTTACCCCTTCACAGTCAAAATTTTTATTTCATCTTCAATCATCATCCAGTATTAAAACTAGTCTGCTAAACAACGGCTATCTCACTCAGATAGTCGAAAGGATAATTTAGTTTATATTTTGATTAGTGATTGTAGAGTAACCGATTTTATTTTGTCTGGTCATAATTTTTTTGGACTGATAGCCGACTTCCTCCAACCACCAAGTACCTTTCAGTGAGTTTACTGACACCTGTGACAGCTTAAACAACATTTTTTAAAGAATATATATATATATATATATATATATATATATATATATATATATTCACATAATTCAATATGCTGGAAATATGATGGATTGTTCAATGAATGACATGTATCAAACTTCCATTATGTCAAACGATGAAGATATAACTAATACCTAGCACTAAGGTTCAATATAACTTACTAGTTCTAAGGCCGAAAAGGTATGCGTTTAAGGTAAAATTAATTTGAATTCAATTATTATCAAATTTGTTAGAATACATACTTCCTATATGTAACAGAAGACTGAGGATGGTCAAAAATCCACGTAAAATAAACAGCCTGTAATTGTATTCCAGGTATTTTCGTGTTGAATAAGTGACTAATGCAGAAAATACGGTGCCAAAACCAAAAACCATCAGTGCACCAATTAAATGAACAGTTAAAACAGTAGCTTCCTAGAAAGCAAAAAAACAACGAGCAAAATAAAATACACGAAATATATTCCAGTTATTTCATTTAACTACTCATAGGTAATTTCAAGTTGTTATTCATTGTAGATTGACATCAGCTGGAGGAAGAAAGGAAACCTGGAAGCACTGGACAGCTGTTTCATCCTAGTATGGGACTCCTCAGCAGTGCGTCCCCTACTAAGACGAAACAGCTGTCCAGTGCTTCCAGGTTTCCAAATCTTCACAACTCCCTCAAAAAACTCATAAGTAAGTAAAATAGTTGAATAAATAATCTTAAAGAGTTCCATTGGTATATCACACAGCGTAACGGTATTATTTACTAGACTAAGTATCGGAAACAATTTATTGTTCATAGTCATATCAAGATAACAATGAATATGAATATAAACTATGATTATGGACAATAAATTGTGTCTGAAACATGATCCAGTAAATAATCCTATTCTATTGGATTATGCATCTAATAAACCAACTAAGGTGGTTTTTAGATACTGATCAAAACCTAATCAGCACAAAAGGAAATATTCGTCAAATTTTAAGACGAAAGACAATAATTTTATCTTACTTAACACATCGATTAAACCATAGAAGAAATACTTCAGCAAAAGAGATACTTTTCAAAAGCTGTACACCCATATATATATATATATATATATATATATATATATATATATATATATATATATATATATATATATATTAAAATTTTAATCATGATATTTGTTTTTACGCTGTTACTTGCATTATTATTCCATTGTTGATCGGACCGGATTAATCGATTTCCATTAGCGTATAGGCTCCTTCACAGACGCTTCAATAGTGGTCCCAGTTTCAATTTTAAACTTATGATAGATTTTGGCTAGCAGTAGAGTTCAGAACGCAGGTTTTATCCTTTTAGGGACTAATCAGCTGGATGTACTTGCGATCTATCACGAGTTCGAATCTTAATGAAAAAAACATCACTCACTGGGAAGCAGGTATATATAACTGACAAGTCTCAAATACGACGAGAAACGTGCATCCTAAATTCCACTGTTAGCCACTATGAATCATTCACATAAAATTATTTGTTTGTTTTGACGAGATGTAATGATAGTGAACCATGCTTAGAAATAGATAAATTATTTTGTCAGTAAAGTACAATTTTTGGAAAATATATAAAAATGAATGGAAATATACGGAAGGTATTTATGAAATCATTGTTATTCATTGATTTCGGGGGACATGATAACATTAAATAACAGTATTCTAATAAACTAATTTTCTGTAGTGTCATCGATGCACCTGTGTGTAAGGTTCTACCTTGATTTTGTCAGTCAGTTAGTCAACCGATGTTCAAGATATTCAGATGCCCTTAGTTAACCATATCAAGACCTTGGACAACGAAAGAGGTTTAACAAGTTTCCTTCACAAGCAGTTTCTGAAGTCAAATTATGAAGCGCCAAGGATTCTGCAATATATGGTAAATAGATACGTTCATTGAATTTTGTACATAATATCGAATGAGGTATTTCGAAGCTGAATGTTCACTATCGACAACATGTTGCGAAAAAGATAAATTGATTGAACTTTTTTGCCGTTTAACAAGCCATATTGTGAGATGTTCCAGAATGCGGAGAAGGATAGGCTTAGAGGAACGATCTATACATCTAGGTTCACAGAAGTAGGTGAACTGATAAACACACACTAAACTGGTATGTCTTGGCAACTTGTCCTTCACTGTTGAGAATAACAGAGGGAAACTGTTATATGCCATTCTGAGGTTTGCTGCACGAAAACTTATACGAACCAGTCTTTCCAGAATGTTATCAGCAGTATCCGTCTTGAATTCTAAATTCAAGAAGAATATCTTCTTCGAAACATTGTCGGTGACTGCTAAGATGTTTTTTTTCATATTTTTCTCAATGAAACGTGATGGGTATCTATTCTATACATAAATCACTATTCAAGTGTTTATCATGGTAAATATTGTCAAATGCATTCAATCGAAAACAAAACTCATAATTAAATTCATAACGCCTGATCAGAAATCTATATATATGAACAAAGATTCAAATTCCGGTATTGTATTCAAAAATAAGTCATATAGTATGGAAACATTGAGACTCGTCGCCTGGATGTACCTGCACCTCTGAGTGATGTTATACCTCCTGGAAGTCGATGCAAGTACCCATCACTTCAAACGCCACACCGCCATCCACTGTGCCACTAAAGCACAAGAGTCACCTATTATAAATAACGCTTTCGTGCTTGAGGTAATTGGTATTTGAGCTCAGTCTCAATGGGGAAAATACCATTCACTGGAATGCGGGTACATCTAGCTGACGAGTCCTAAACAGGACAATACATAATCCATGTATTCCACTAACAGTTATCAAGCCGAGTATAACATCACAAATATCCAACAGTATCGAGACATCCACATAAAAGCACATCTACTAACAGAGGTTGAGTAATTCAGCTCTGTATAACAACACAACAGGGACTGAAACAGAAATATTGGCATTTCGTCACATATGTATGCAGTCAGGTGAATGGATAGAGGGCGTAACACTACCTAAAGCCTAAAGAGTGATCATTGTCTCTTGAGTATTCCCATTTGTCACACCTAAAGGTAGAACAATAGAGTTCACTAATGAACTATTCAATAGTGCGAAAAAGATATATAACGCTGACTAGTCGAAAAGAATAGAACTGCATAATTAAGGCACAGAATACAGAAGCAATCTTCATACTCAAGATTAGACCAGATGGTCAGAAAGAATAAGGAACATGGAATTCGGGCCTCCCAACGAACCAACCAACAACCTATCACCCAACAAATATGCAAAAGAAGAAAATGGAGATGGATTGGAGTGGACATACACTGAGAAAACCGTTTGAGGACATCACGCGCCATGACAGGTCCTCGAGTGGAACCGATTGGGGAAATGACGAGTTGGGCATTCGAGGCGAGGGTGACATTGAGGAGATCGTGTGAGGAGGAGATGAAAGCTTGTGGGGAGTCATGGAGCCAGGTAAAAGGAAAAGACTGCAGAGGAGAAGAACTTATTAAATACTTTATTGTTAATCAATATTTATTTAATACATATGAATATAAAGTCAGTGGAGTACAACGAATTCAGCTGTCATAGTTACTGTTTGTTTTTATCCAATAAAAACTACTTTGATCATATGCAACTAGAGCAATACAGCTTATGGTACACATTATCATTATGAAATGACATGAAAATGAAAATTACTAAACTTTAATTAACGAGTTTTGACCCATTACTACTCTGTTTGTTTTTTTGTTATAATGAAGTGATAGGCACTTGACTATAAAGCATGTTACCTATTCCTTTTGATAGTTTAAATCGCTGAATTGAATATTTGTGATATACTTCGTCTAGTAAACCATCACTATTGATTAACTGGGCATATCAAATATAAAGAAGGAAGGAAAGATTACCTTTCCAAACTTTCTAAGAAGGGTGACCTAAGTCTTTGTCAGAAATGGTGCGGAATCATCCTTCTCTCCACTACAAGCAAAATATTAGGCCACATCATCCTGGAGAGATTAAAATATGCTCTGGATTCAAAACTACGACTGAAAGAGCATGGATTAGGAAGTACAAATCACGTGAGGATCGAATTGCAACACTAAGCATCATCATAAAACAGAGCAGAGAATGGTACAATGGCCACTCTTTACCTCAATTTCATCGACTGAAAAAGCCTACGATTCAGGCGTCAAACGAGAAGTAATTATGCAGCTGCTTAGACACTATGGCTTTAGTGCCACGAACATTTATCAAATTCATTCAACAGTTAAATGATGACGCTACATGCCAAGTGATTGTAAATGGAAACTTTAGTGCTGTCTTTGAAGTGAAGACAGGTTTAAGACATGGTTGCTGACTATCCCCGATCATCTTCCTGATTGTGATCGACTGCATCATACAACAGACAACTGTGAGGAGCAATATCATGGACATACGCTGACTGGACCGATGAAAAGACCCTAGAAAATTTGGATTTCAACGATGATGATTTATGTGTAATGTCGCACGAACTCGAAGACCTACAGGCAAAAACCAATAAGTTGGTAGCAGAGGCAGCGAAGACACGACTTCCTTCAGGTGAACATAGAGAAGACAGAGGTGATGAAGATGACCAACCAACAACAAGTACCAATCACCATCAACGGGAGAAACCTAAACGAAGTTGTCTCTTTCACCTACCTAACTAGGCAGCATTGTTTTCAACCACAGGCAGCACAGGCACAGATGTGTACGTCAAAGCAAGGATCGAAAAGACAGAGAGACAGGCCTTCCTGCATTAATCTGAAATCAGTGTGGAGATCTACTGCACTCAGTATAAAGCGAGGACAACATCCGGTTTTCCAATATTAATGTCAAGTCAAGTCAGTGCTTCTACGTAATCGTTCAAAGACTTGGCGTGTGTCGAAAAGCATTTCCAACAAACTACAAGACATGCATCAAGCAACAGCTGTCGCCTACGTTCACTCGATACTGAAGATCAGATCAGATGGTCAGGAAGAATAAGGAACATGGAATTCATGATGAATACCAATCTGAGATCGATAAGTAAACTCCCACAAACCACTAAACTGAGTTATTTTTCGATTGAATACATATGTTTCAATAAGATAATTGTGGTAGAATGTAACTCCATTTTAGTTGATTCATTAGATATACTACACAGTGCAAACGTATTATTCCCTGGATTACGTTTTGGACACAATTTAATGTTCATAGTCAGACACACAAACACAGAATATCATATTACTTTACTATGCACCACAATATGCTTTATCCTGGCGAAATAAATGCCTGAAAATGTAAGCATATATATATATATATATATATATATATATATATATATATATGCATGTAAAAATTGCATAAACTTCTTACCTGGAAATTAGCCACTATCGACATTCCAATTGCAGATAAACAGCCAATAATACAGGTAACACGTGCAAAAATGATATGAGACTGAGGTCCAACATGAGCTAGTATCACATCACACTCATATAAATACCAACTGTAAACACAGATGAGACCTTAATGTAAGAAATGAACATGGAAATATATAACATAGATGAGATGTGACATAATGCAGTAAGATAAGGGAGAAACTAAATTTCCTAATATATGAAATAAAACATCCAGGAGAGTCCATAGATTTCAGGGCAAACTTCTAAAAGAAGAAATTAGATTGTCTGATCGTCTAAACGCTAACGACAGATTTCAAACTTCTTCACAATTCTAATATATCTGTTTATAAGACTTCAACGCAGTAGAACAGTAAGTAATGAAAACTGCTCTTTTGAATCTACTTTCAAGGTAATAGTAACAGATCAAACTGCCATCAACAAAGTACACACAAATAAATCGATGAAAGCTATAGGGTATATGCCATAAAATTGACCTCATTAGCGTAAGTGGATTCACTCATGTTTGTTTAAATGTTGAAGTTTTATCTTCATACATATATTAATTCTCTTCACATAATTTTAGTTTTACCTTAGGACTTTACAACTAACAAATAATTAATTTTTGAGATAAGTGGGGATTTTTAATTTAGAAGTAGAAGTCATCATGGACTGACATTAGTTGGGGAACCATTGGAAATATGGGAGCACTGGACAGCTGTTTCGTCCAACTAGTATGGGATTCCTCAGCAGTAAGCACCCACGACCCGGCTAGGGGTCGAACTCAGGGCTTTCAGGTTTCACGGCGAACGCGTTAACCAATCGGCCACCGGGTCGGTTCACAGTGGTTCACAATTTCCAACTTCTGTTAATTCACGACATAGCGTGACTGTTACCCAAGGTCTTCAGTTAGTATCCACTTCACTTACGACTGGTTGATCCCACAGGTCACGGTTTCTCATTAGTGGGGTCGACTAGTCGTAAGTGAAGTGGATACTAACTGAAGACCTTGGGTAACAGTCACGCTATGTCGTGAATTAACAGAAGTTGGAAACTGTGAACCACTTGAAACCAACCCAGTGGCCGATTGGTTAAAGCGTTCGCCGTGAAACCTGAAAGCCCTGAGTTCGACCCCTAGCCGGGTCGTGGGTGCTTACTGCTGAGGAGTCCCATACTAGTTGGATGAAACAGCTGTCCAGTGCTCCCATATTTTCAATGGTTCCCCAACTAATGTCAATCCATGATGAATACTACTTCTAAATAATTAATTAATATTTTTATCTCATATAAATTTACACCTTGAAATGCAGATAGTGGTATGGTGCAAGCTTAGATGAATAGACAATTACATTAAGTCTCAAATTCTTTGTGTTCTGTTCAGATCTAAAACTGAATTCATTTAATAATACCTGGTACGTTAGGTAACATATTTTAATAAGATATAATTTCATCTCATTGATCATAATCCTTTATCATACCACTTTATGTGAATGAAGAAAAACAATTCCATGATAACCACAAAAGAAGTGATAACCAGGATTTTAGGGCTCACAGCTGTTTGATGTATAACTGCAGTTGAAGAATGAAAGCCCGTGGAGAAAGCATGAGTACATTCCACATCGTCTTCGAAGTTGCCCTTCGGCATCTGTGAAGAGTGGTAGTCAGGGAGGGTAAAAAATGAAGGTACAAGTTTTCAACTATGTATATTTACATAGCATTGCTTGTGTAGGATCAAGCCACAGTATGAGCAGCGCAGAAGTCAGATAGACTACCAAGGAAAGGATGCAGGTCATTTCATGAAATTTTGAGGATGTATCAACTGAAGTAACCTAGACACATGATACGAATACCCAACCACCAACTAATTGGATGCAATGGTAAATAGAGTAGTAGTAGAATAAAGCTAAGGTAATAAGAAATGGCAAGAAATGAGTGACAATAAATATGAAACCTAGGTTCAAGGCTTCCTACTAGTCGCATTCAGCCGACTAGCGTCAGTCAGAGTAGACCGTAATCCTAGGTTTCCAAGCCTTTAGGCTATATTGCGGAGGTGATCGACAGGAATCCGTCATCACCTGGGAATGCACAACATGGAACTGGTTAGTCTTCTGAGACTAATCAATGAATACAGCTAGCGTTCGACACCGGTAGGTAGACTAATGTTAAGAAACCTTTAAAATGGTGAAAAATTAATTAATACAACCTTGTCGAGTTTCAGAATGTGTCTAGGTTTCTTTTCTCTAACTTCCAATGTGGTGCCAGATGACTACAGAACAAAAACCTTAGATCATGGATTTCTTGAGGTTATCACACCGGATGTTTTTCCGTTATGGAAGACTGTGATAATCAGTTACCAGAACCAGATAAAATGTCTATATCTGTATGTACAACCTAGCCAATATATCAGTAAGTTTAACCGATAACTTTCGGTCACCACCCTTAAATAGCTGATTCCGGTCGACCAACATCTACTGACCGACCTCATTTCAAGCTGTTGACCATCTCAAGTCCTGTAACATTTGAAGTCTTTATTTAGATATTTCACTGAGACTGAATGAATAGTAGGCAACCAAAGAGTAGTCAGAGATCAGTTGAACTGTTCCTTAAAGTGTTCCATCCACCTTTCTAGTTCTCTTCTCTATGAATAGTCAACAGAAACTTACTTCTCCTTTATATAATCTCAATTACTCTCAACTTTTCCACCACATTTCTATTAATAGTTTTAGACAATTATCTTTTATCGCCTAGTGATGTTAGCTGTTCACCACTCCTCATAGTCTTTGCGCAGAATCCATTTTTTGGTTTATACTTAAGTGGTTTTCCTTCTCTTTTTACTCTAAACCAAAAACTGAATGAGTCTGTGAACACCCCTTAACCTGGACAAAGTAACTAAGATTCACAGTTCATTCCTGAGATTCATTTAAAGTCTGTATCACTCCCTTAATAGCAAACTGGATATACTACTAGCTTTCTTCAAGACGACTGGTATGAACATACCAGCTAACTGTTTAATTAGCTTCATGAATGCAGTCCTAATAATTCCATTTCAGAACCATGCTCTGAAAAACATTCTGGTCCATTAAGCTGTCAATATATACACGCTCAAACTATGGAGTGATCACTCATCGAGCCCAAGAGTCTTCAACCAATGATTCCTATTGTCTAAGAGACTCCATCCAGGTAGTCTGCATCTTCCTACATAACTCAGACCAACAGTCAGAGACTTCATCAACGGGTGCCATGTCATGGTCTGGGCACCTTGAATACTGTTCCAACCTAATCAGATATCCCTAGCATAACAGGCCGAGATAGGTGGTGGCTCAGAATGCGCAATACACATCCAAGCCATCTCAGTCGATTAAGGTTCATAACCTCATCAGTCAACTTGTCTTTCTTGCCTAGTACGCTCCTCGTGACCTTGACAATGTTCGCATGGCAATCCAACCAAACGCCAACTATACTAAGAAGACACCTATCATCAAAACCCTGTAACCGCTTCAGGTCTTCTACTTTCAACGCCCATATCTCACAGATGTACAACAGGAGAGAAAGAGCTGCAGTGCAATATACTCGTCCTATGATAGGTAGTCGGATATCTCACCAGTAGGCACCACAGATGACGCAAGTTGGTAAATGCCCGACGAGTCTTCGGTATGCGTACTAAGATCTAGTCAGTAACCAGTCCGTTCGGGGTGATGCAACTCCCCAAGTAGGTGAAGTGGTCGACAGATTCCATGACTTCACTCCTTATCACTAAACTGGGATCAGTTCAAGACCAATCCTAGAGCATAGTCATCCGATTATTAAGTGCGATAAGCATCCCAAACATTCTCAGATTTGTGCTCAACTTATCCAGAAGACCCTGCATTTTGTCAATGTCTTCACACAGCTGTGGCTGTAGTCAGTACATAGAATAGAAGCGTCGCATGGATCATCTGAAACAGAAATTACCATAATCCATAGTAATATGAAGCAAATGATAAACATTACTATGTGGGAATTAAAGGATAAATGTTAATAGACAAGTAACAGAAAAGTATATATATAATTACAACTACCAAAGCTTACATAAAAACGAACATATGTTGAGCAATTGACCAAATACACAACTTTCCGGTGGCAACGCGCCAGTATCACTAAAGTAAGAGAAGAAGAATGAAAATAAGCTGTTTATGAGGGAATAAGATGAACTCAAAGTAAGAATAAAAATAAAGCAATTAACTAGCATTTGTGAGATCGAGTCAGCAATCGTTAGCGTTACTGATGCTTAATGATGAATGAAGATGAAATGAAAACCGCAGTTACCAGGACTTCGAACCAGCGACCTCCTGGTCACCAGCTGGGTCTAGTAATTTAGTTAATAGAGCACTGGGTCAGTTACTTTGCTAAATCTTATCAGTGACCCAGGTTTCCACTGCCCTCTAATCATCAACCAGTAATAATTAATTGTATAATTTAAAGATCCGCGTAGGATTATTCAGAAAAAGAATAATTTTGAGCGAACAATTATTTTCAATAACTTCTTCTTCAGACTATGCAGTCATAAATCCATGAGAATAGGTAGGAAACAACAACCAATGTAAGGTGTAATGTAAAATTATTTTAATATTGGGCAAATAGAGATGAAATCCAATTGATATATCAGGTTTCGAAAGAGTGAAAATCTTTATTTAGTACATTTAAGAAAACAATAGCTTTCAGTGGAAAAAATTATATCTTATGATTATCATTTGACTATCTGAGATAGCCGTGGTTTGACAGACTAGTATTTATACTTGATGATGAATGAAGGTGAGATGAAAATATGAACTGCGGCCGGGTTCGAACCAGTGACCACCGGGTTACTGGCCCTGTGCCCTACCAGCTGAGCTACGAGGTCCAACTGCTGACCAGATTTTTATTTCACTTCAATCACAAGGTGGGGGGGTTTTGGTCGACTATCATGCGAATTCCTGATGCGTTACTACCGCTTGATCGTATTCACACTGGCTGCCTAGTCAGGAATTCTCATTCGTTTGTGATTGAAATGAAATAAATTCTGGTCAGCAGTCGGACCTCGTAGCTCAGTTGGTAGAGTACCGGGCAGGTAACCTGGTGGTCACTGGTTCGAATCCGGCCGCAGTCCAGATTTCCATCTCACCTTCAATCATCACCCACTATATACATATATATATATATATATATATATATATATATATATATATATATATATATCCTACGAATTACCTCCTCATTACTGATGTTTACTAATAAAGTAGTAGTAATTTTACTTCGTCTAGCTTTCGACTGCATAGTTTATCCTAATAACTGATGAGAATCCTTATTTTTATGAACATCACATGTATAATGTGGCCAGTTTAGAAAGCTTTTCATCTTCTTCAACTATTCTCGGGTAATTAGTACTGATGATAAACCGACTGATTAAACCATTTTATTTTTAACAACTGTAATTATGCAACAACTTGATTTAATTATCATAATTCTACTGAGTAATTAATTGACCACTTGGACCTTGTTTTGATTTCCTTGGCTAAGTATTACACCATTATTATGATGAAACTGTTAAGTCTTCATAACTGACTTATTACCAGTTGATTTATATGCTATATCATGAAGAGCCAATTGAGAAAAATGCTTCACTTATGTTATAATTTGCTTAGAGGTAGTTAGTAGTAGAATCTAGAACAAGCGTTTCGTCTTATTTAGAACTTATCAGCCAGATGTACCTACGTCCCAGTGAATGATGGTATTCTCACTCAGACATAACCTAATGAATCTTAAGGCAGTATTGTCAAAGCATCCACATAAAACCTCACATGCCAATAGATAGATCAACTTCATCCATAATAACAAGGGAAAAGTTCAAGTATAAATAAATAACTTCTTTATTCAACTCGCTGTCGGTCACTGTTTTTTATGTTCATGAAAGGCCTTCATTTGTATAATGTAACTGAATACTAGGTGAGATTAACACGTCAATTAAACGAATAAGGGAAAAAAATAAATACAACTACATATAATTTATTAATGTACTATGTAATTAGCGGATTAAACTGTTTATATAAGTGAAAAACTTGGGCACTGTGGTAGAATGTAGTTCCATATTAGATTTGTTTATTTGATATAAAGCGCACAGTGATACAGTATTATTTAATTGATTACGTTTCGAGCATAAATTATTACTGCTCATAATCATATCAATGTAATCACACTTCTTTCGATATCTGATTTTATAGTCCTGTCAACTGATCTCTCTTTGTTTTTTGTTTTTTGGTTGGTAGTAAAGTTTTCCATATCTCTGGTATAGGTGTTGCGTCATTCCTATTACATGTGTTGGGTGTGGATTCGATGAACAAAGATTCAGTAATTAGTCTCTCTCTCCACCTAGCTATATTAGACTTAAGTACAGTGGTTTTGTCCCATCCTATTGTGTGGTTGTGTGTTAATGAATGTAATGCAATGGCTGAGTGTTTTTCTGGATTATTGATCTTATTGGGGTCTGCCGTTCTATGTTTAGCTAAAGAAGCGTTAATAATCAATAATTATCCCCATCATTTTATTAAAAAATTCACACGGACACATAAGAAGCAAAATAATAACACTAATACAAATACAAATAATAGTGACAACATAAGTAGAAAGGAAATCAACACCTCTATTGTGATACCATACAAGGAAGGAACATCAGAAACCATACGTAGGATTCTCAACAAGGTTGGAATTAGGGTGGCATTTAAACCAACATACTCACTTAGAGGTAAGCTTTGTCGGCTAAAAGATCCGATAGAACCAATTAAGCAAAATAATATAATCTACCAAATTCCATGTAATGACTGTGAGGTCAAATACATAGGTCAAACTAGCCGGTCGGGGTCAGTTAGATTAACAGAACATAGGAATTTAGCTAAACATAGAACGGCAGACCCCAATAAGATCAATAATCTAGAAAAACACTCGGCCATTGCATTACATTCATTCATTAACACACAACCACACAATAGGGTGGGACAAAACCACTGTACTTAAGTCTAATATAGCTAGGTGGAGAGAGAGATTAATTACTGAATCTTTGTTCATCGAATTCACACCCAACACATGTAATAGGAATGACGCAACACCTATACCAGAGATATGGAAAACTTTACTACCAACCAAAAAACAAAAAACAAAGAGAGATCAGTTGACAGGACTATAAAATCAGATATCGAAAGAAGTGTGATTACATTGATATGATTATGAGCAGTAATAATTTATGCTCGAAACGTAATCAATTAAATAATACTGTATCACTGTGCGCTTTATATCAAATAAACAAATCTAAACTGTTTATAGTTGGGTTTAAATTATATTTATATACGTATATTGAACATCGAAAGCTAAATAATTGTGAAATTCAACACTTACCTTATGTATGGAAATAAAATAGAGATATGATGATCTGATGCTGAAATTATATAGCTAAAAAACAGCAAAAAAAAAGTATGAATTAGTACAAACATGTACATTGAGAATGAACATAAAGTTTACAGCATCCTTCTATAATATACGCTATAATTGAGTTTGATTTGAATCGAAACGAGAAGACTTGATTAGATAGCTATTGTAATCAAATGATGAATGAGCAGTCATATGTCAGTCTGAGTCATCATCAGCCATGCAAATCATCATAGGACCAGGCATTACTGCATAACGGTCCAAGTTACCACAGCTCATATCAGTACATCAAATAAAAGGGGGCGGTGAAGTTGAAGATGAAGAAAAGAAAATTCAGTCAAAGGAAATATAAAGTACTAAGAATAAAAAAAATGGTGAGATTCGGTATAATGTTAATATGAAGATAAGGTGTGTATACATCTGTACCACTGATATCGGTTCTGAGCCATATCGCCTGCAGTCAGTCTCCAACCCCTGGTTTCTCTTGTCCCGCGGACCTCAACCACCTAATCTGCTGCATCGCAAAACAACAAAAGTCTGAGTCATACATCTGGAAAAACAGTATTTCTGTTCTTACTCCCTTATGAATTTCTATTCACTTACTGTACTATAGAAAATATTCTTCTGCATATTTTATAATCGAAAAATAAAAATTTTTCAAAGATTATAAGTAAAATAATAATGAAATCGTAATATAACGTCTACTTTGGGAATAACCATCAATGTTGTGAACCTAATCCAATATACATCAAGATAACAGAGTTAAATAACAACGAATTTTTATTGGTAAAATCAGTAAAAGTGATTACCATTTCATAAGTTCATATAAAGTTAGAAATGTTAGACTATATACCAAATTTATTGTATGACGGTTAACAAGATCGAATGAACAGATACACAAAATGATGTTCAAAAGAATCTCGAAATCTACTCAGACCAACCTTGTACATATTCGTGTAGTAGGCAATGAACTAATGACTCTGCCTGACTTTTCAAGTCCCGATTGGTTTAGCACTGTTCAAACCCATAACCCACTGGTTAAGAATCAACTGACTGAACTAATAATTCACAAATCCACGATATAATGTTAAGCGGGATTCAAGTTAGTGATACGTTGACTGATAACTGTGTCTCAAACTGCCAACTTTCTAAACAACACAATTGGCTTAAGTAAAAATCAAAAAAAGTTTCTGTCGACATGTATGATGCATACATCATTAATACTACACATTGACAAACAACCGACAAGTTATGAACACCTGAGATTATTCTATTCCTTATCTCTATTCAATTTTCTATACTGTTCAGAAATGCAACTAGTTAAATCAGTGTACTTATGTTCTAGGTCCTAGATGGATTTGTCATTCTGTCTGCAAATTAATAAGCACAATGGTACTAATTTCAGCATTCTAAATCTTATTCATTAAACATATGAATCAGCGCACTCATACACAAAAACACTTAACTACACTTCAATAGTACAAATACAGGGAGTGACTAACGTGATTCAATGAATAACGCTCTTGCATCTGAAGTAATTGGATATGAGTTCGAGTATTGGTGGGAATAACATCCCTCACTGGGAGGTAGGTATATCTAGCTGATGAATCCTAAATAGGACAAGACATGTGTCCTGAATCCCACTGCTAGCTACTGTCCATCATTACTATATATACAAATAACTTATTCAAAAGTATCACTAGAGGTGACCACTAATCAAACTGAATACCTTGAAATATTACTTGCAGTTAGCTAGCTTTACATGAATATATCATAATAATGGTTGGTATCTACAGATGATGTGCTTATACGAGCCCGTACACATATTAAACATCAATACACTCTTGGCTAATTGAAGAAAAACATGTCCCATTCAAATAATTATAAGATATAAGGAAGGCATAGAGTATATTACAAAATGGATTGCCAAAGAGTAACAACCTTGTCACATAAGCATATCATCCATAATTTTCCGTGAATTAATTCATATTTCTTCAGTGTAAAATAGGTAATGATACCACAATCATTCCTTTGAGAACATACTCCAATATTATGAATGAATGATTAGACTATCGTGACAATATCATATGAACTTAGTTAACTGAGTTTAGTTATCATCTGATTCAGTGCAGAGTTTTTTTTGGATCAATTCATGCCATTTACGTTGTAAGATAGATTATATCTGATCATTAAATTACGGTAGAGCGTATTAAGCAGTATTTAGTTGTGTTCTACTTTATTGCTACAAAACATGAAAAGTAAACTCAGATATGGATAGTAGTTACCAGTGGAAACCAGAAAGCGCGTTTCATCCTATTTGGGATTCATAAGATCAATGTACCTACCTTCCAGTGAGTGTTGTTCTCACTAGGATTCGAACTCAGCGCCGATTGCAAGTGATTTATCCACTAGACCACCGAGTCATGATAGCCACTTCTTATGCAACTGGTGTAGTTTTAATGTTGTTACTTGTATTATCCCATCGTTGAGTGGACCGAAAAGACCGGTCTCTTTTGGCATGTAGGCTTCTGCGCGGACGCCTTGATATTGCCTGTGTTTGAATTGTTTAATAATGATGATAGTAGTGATATCCCAAGCCTAAATGTGATTGTTCGTGCCTTGTATAGCACCATCTGATTACCACGACACATACACTCACACAATAAATAATGTACAGGTTACAAGTAGAGATCAACATTAAGGAGGTAAATCTACTGAAAACATTCATTAACTAAGGTGGTTGGGATGTTTTCGAGGACTAAGACAACATCTTCCTTGACATATCACGTTATCTGAAGCAGTCAAATACAAAAAGAATTAGGATGAATAAGACTGAAGTTTGACCGCAGCTCATGAAATTCCACATTATCGCTTTGATCCATTTAATTAAAGTGTAGAATTCCTGATTGGAGTACAACAGACAAATGAACTCGGCAACTGGATACATTGGCGTAGATGTTAGATCAGTAAGTAACAATATAAGTTGGGTTTAATACTGTTCAATGGTCCAAGTTGCAACACTTCATATCAATACATGGAGGTTGAAGGTTAAACAATAAATATTGGAGATATAAAGAGGGAGATGAAAACGTTGTAAAAAGAGAACAGAAAGGAATAAAATAATAATGAAATCCAGTAGAATGATTAGTATGAAAATAATATATGGGTGCATCTAGTCCACTGAGATCGATTCTGAGGCTTATTATCTAGAGCCTAGAAACACTGATTTCGGTTGTCACACGGAGATCAATCGCTTAGTCTACATTGTTCCACACAGCTGAGACCAATAGTCAAAGACTTCATGAAATGATGTCCTATTTTAATCTTGATACTTCATACCTTCCTTTCAGCCAGAACTTACTTTACTTAGTATCGCACGATGAAAAAAATGACTCAGTGTGCATTACCTATATCCCAACCATCTAAAATGGATGAAGATGCATAAGCTCATCGGATAACTTACTTATTTGACCCAAGATCTATATCTGAATTTAGAATTACAAACGTGGCGACAACACGGCATACGTACAAAGGCTTCGAAAGTAAACGTAGTCAAAACCCGAGACCTTATATCTTCTACTTTCAATGGTCACGTTTTACAGTAGTTTAGTTGAATTGAGCAAACTGCAGTGCAGTAGACTCAGCACTAACAGGCAATCAGATATCATACCGATGTTATAGATGGCGTAATTTGGTGAAAGCCAGGACAGCCTTTTGTATCTGAACAGCTTTCGTCGGTGACCGTCACTGACTCAACAGGACTCATGTGACTTCCAAAATGTAGTGCTCAACGCACTCAACACAGACCGGTGCTGAAGTAATAATAATAATTTGTACATGAGTGTCGAGAAAAGCACCTCGAAACATCCTCAAATCCTTACTTGTGGTGTTCAGAAAACCGCTTCTTGTTAGCATCTTCACCTAATAAGATTATGCCATCTGCAAACTTTAGATATACCGAAGAATCTCCAGTGATAGAACCAGTCGCCTCAAAGTCAGACGAGGACGGCGAAACCTCCATAAGGACATTTATGACAAAATCAGAGGAGAATCGAGAAAGCGGATATCATTGACGGACACCCCTTGATGTACACAACCATACCAATATCTAAATATATATGCTCCAGCAAGCCCATGGATGTTCGAACATAGAGCTGTTATTAGAGTGACTTAATTACCTGGCATCCTCTTCAGTTAGAAACACTGTCGTAAGACCTCATAATCAATGCAGCCGAATGCTGCCTTCACGTCAATGAATTAAGCTATGTCGTGCACTGCATAGTGTGCCAGTGCTTCAGAATATAAAGAAGGGTAAATATTTTTTCGATATACCCATGACCAAGTCTGAAACCTCCTTGGCACTTCCAAATTTGTTCTTGAGATTCTCTTAGGTGTTTGATGACTAAAGATCGTAAAACGCCACACATTATTTTCACCAGATCAATAATATTATGTCTATCACAAGAAAATTTCTCTCCTCTTTTAAAAAGCAGGTCAATCAACAACAGCAGCCAGTCATAGAGAATCATATCTGATTCCAATACCCTAACTGACACTTCAGTTAATCTGACTAGTAAACCTTGACCATCGTCCTTAAATATCTCTGGTTCTAGCTCGTCTGACTCCGTAGCCCTTCCGTGTTTCAAACTACACACCGTGAACTGTGGGGCCCACCGATCGTAAGGGAGGCGGATGCCAACTGAAGACCTTGGATGGTAGTCGCGCCATATGGTGAACTGACGGAAAAAAGAAACTGTGTAGCACTGAACTTCAACACAGTGGCTAAGTGGTTAACGCGTTCGCTGTGAAATCTGAAGGTCCCGACTTCGATCCATTGACGGAGTCGCAGGTGCGTACTGCCGAGTCTCACACTAAGACGAAACAGCCGTCTAGTGCACCCAAGTTTACAGTGGTTCCCCAACTGATGTCAGTCTGTGATGAATACTAACTTAAAAACAAAATCCCCACTGACCTCAAAATGCACTAACATATTTGTCTATTTCCTCGATACCTGTATATAACTG